CAATTCTCACCTGAATTTGCATACACAATCTGTCTCCACTCTCCTGGATATTCACTACTCTCTGTTTAATCTGAACTGTCTGTTCATTTTCACATATTATGTTAATAAATAATAAATAATTTTTGCACTTGATATTGTGCCAAAACTTCTCAATACACTTCACAGGAATAGCTGTCAAATGTAGTGACTGTATTTGTTATATATAGACAGATTCAGCAGTCAATTTGAGAGCAGAAATGGCCCGCAAATAATCAGGAAGTGAATGACCAATTTAACTGAAGGATTGTTTGGGCAGGACACTGGGAGAAACTATTTTCTCCTTTCAAATAGTGCCATGGGACCTTATTATGATAACCGTGTTCTGTAGCTCATGATATGGGAAATATGATCAAAATACAGACAAGAGCTCACATCAAAATGAACTTGACTTAGATTTTTAAGATCAGAAAATAATTTGGATTTGAGTCTTATTTTGACCTGTTACTAAAGTCTACATGACCCTAGTGGAAGACTTCACAATTATATGCCTCCATCCCCCATATCCTGTGTTAACCCTCTGGTTTGAAAGGCATAAACATCTGGACAGAGATTTCTCCAGTGCCATTGAGCTCTGTGAACATTCCTGATTCTTCTGGCCAACAGACACTGCAAATGCTGAGATGGTTCATACTTCCAGACCAACACTCCACCCATATCCTTCGGCTCCCCTGGACACTGTTGGATTTTTTGGCCAGACAGCTGCACTAAGCCAAATGAAACAGGCCAGGCACTGTGCATGACTTTGTTTCAAGGGGAGTGGTAGAGGATTACTTCAGTAACATTCACAAAGCTATTGCATTCTCGAGAGATGAGTAAAATTCTGCAGAATTATGCAGAAAGTGGGTTACAAATGAGCTTTTAAACAAACTGGACTGTGAGGCTCAGTTAACTGGGATCATTGACTTGTTTATCCTTTGAATTTGTCTATTGTTCTTATTTAACTGACTGATTTTATACAAAATAGGCCTGAGGGATGAATATGACGGAGGTATCAGAAAGGCAGATGTATTCTGCGCCACATGTTGTGGCCTTATCCAGAGACTAGGAGATTTGGGGAATGGAATGAGCATTTGAATAAATTTTAGTCTTTAAGTTTCAACTTTAAAGAATCCAGGTCTCAACTCCTCTCCAACCGAAGTGTAAATCACATCCTTCAAGCCCTATTCCCTGCCTCTTACTAAGCCGCTCATAAATAGGCTGTTTCCATTCATTGGTGAGCCCATAACAAGGGGACATGAATACAAGATCGTTACCAGTTATATCTAAAAGAGTTTAGGAGGAATTCTATAGGCAGAATCAGTGATAATGCAAAACTCCATGTCAGAAGCTGAAACAAGAAACATCAATGCACTTAAGAGGAAATTCGATGTTGACATAGGGGAAAAGGGAATAGAGAAGTGTTGAGAAAGCTGGGGAGAGAGGATTATGAGGGGTGGAGAGTCATGTGGCGTATCAACTTCAGCATGGACTATTTGGGCCGAATGGCTTGTGTCGGTGTTTTACTGTGTAATCCTACGTAATGTATTTCTCTCTTCAACAATTCTCACTTTGCCCACAAAATACACAGTCAATCCATTATTATTATCCTGTGCATGGCTTTGTTTCAAGGGGTGTGATGGAGCATTACTGATGACTGCCTTACATCACTATAAAGGACATACGATCAGTATCAATGCATTGCCTGAGTTGTTTTGACATTGTTTTATAAGTCATTTTTTGTGGGGGGGGGGGGGGGGGTGGTTTACAAGAGGCAATGCTCTCTCTCTCTTTACTCTGCATGAAACATTGGAGATCACTTCCACTTTGCTGTGCCGACTTGATTTCACTGGGCTGATTGCAGATATCCATCCACCATCATATATATATACATATATATTAGATGGTGTATGTGGAGCTGGGTATGTGACACTTTCAGCCATTCTAACTTTAAAGCAGTGTGGAAATGTATATGCTATTGGATTCAGTGCAATTTAGCCTATGGCGTGAAAAATAAACCATGCATCCAAAGTACTCGTGCCTTTATTTTATTTCCACATTGGTGTTTTGCATATTGTTTGTATTGAAGTATGTTGGCTTTCAAGCTGCACATAATGATACAGACCATATGATGAAATGGACTTGCCCCTTTGTGGATTTGAAAACAGTACAGATAATAATAATAACCCTTTACTTGGTGTAGCGCCTTTCACATCGACAGGATGTCCAAAAGTGCTTCACATGATATACTGTAAAGTGTAATGACTGTGGATTATGTGTGTATGGGTCTTCCTCTCTCTCTCTCTCTCTCTCTCTCTCTCTCTCTCTCCCCATCTCTTTCTCTATCTGTTTGTCCCTGACTGTCCAGCACCTTGGGACATCCACTGATGTGAAAGTCGCTATGCAAATGTAATTTGTTGTTGTTGTCTGTCCATCTAACTCTCTGTCTAATTGTTCTCTGCGTTCATGGCTCTTTCTCCAACCATGTGATCTAGATAGAATCTCCCCCCCTACATAAGTAAGTTCATATACCTAGTTACAAACTTGCCACCAATAATTGTTTTGGCTTATATCGCAGCCCAACTTCACTTCCATATCAAAGCCCCAATTCAGATGAACAAATGTGGATGTAGCTAAGTGGTGATCCACCATGGTAACACCCGCAAGTACCTCATACCAAGCTGCAGGAATTCTACTCCAATCCAAACTGCTTACAGAGAGGATCTTTTAAGATAATAAAAAGCATCTATTTGACGTGGGTATCTAACATACAATATCTATTACCAGGAGTCAGATATAGCGACTCTTATTGGTACCTGAAACTGCATTCTGCGAGTCAGCTCGACTTGCATCCAGTTACTGGCAAAATTTGACATTTCTGAATCGAGTTCAGATATCACATTGTTAACCTCATTGAGTTCTCATTTTTCTCATTTCAAACATTCGGCGTTTGAAACCAAGAATATCTGAATAACCTGTTGGCCCAGGTCTTCAAGTGTCTGATTCGGAGGTGCCTCTGACATCTGCTTATTATTCCAAGATGTATTTCTAAAACATCTCTATTCCTCAGTGAAATTACCCACCCATGTACGGCTATTTTAGTGTTTAGAGTTCAACTTGGCACTTACTAATGGCATGTAAACCAACAAGTGGCATCTTGCAAATATGAAATTCTACTTGATTTATTACTTTTTAATGCAACTATTTACTCCAGGTTACCTGCACTGGAAATGAAAACACTGCAGATTTTTTTAAAACTGATTTTTGATTTTTTTCAGTAAAGAATAGTTTGGATCAGTCAATATTAAGGAAAAATTAATGCTAGCTTTTATACAGATATAAATAAAGAATCCAGAATATGCAGATCAGTGTGTTATGAAATTTTGAGCATCTGAGTATTAGATTGGCCTTTCATTTTGGGGATAAGATCCATATATGAAGCATTAAAGAATATGCTTGTACCTACATCTTATATGTTCTTCGGCAAGAATGCTTTTTCATTTAAGGTTACTGAACATTATTTGTGTGAGGCATTTGCAACAATTTCTGGATTTCGGCATCTAATTGCATCTACATCTCAGTTTGTACCACTCAACCCTCATAAGGTTGTAAGTTCTAGCCCCACATAGGAATTCTGAACTGATTGACACTCCAATACAGTCCGTTGTCATAGGTGCCATCCGTCAGATAAAACTTTAAATCAAAGTTCTGTCTGCCTGTTCAGATGGATGGTAAAGACCCCATAGCACTATTTGTTTTATTTATTATTATATTATTTATTCAATTTTTTTGCCCACAAAATACACAGTCACTCCACTTTGCATATATTCTGTGAAGCGTTTTGAGACGTCTCAATGCTATGATAAGGTGCTATATAAAATGCAAGAATTATTATTATTGATAATTTTTTGCATAACTGATTTACAGGTAAAATATTCCAGGGATTTAATGTAGGACAAATCTGAGTGCTGCACAAAGTTGTCCTTTAGCTGGGATTTCAAGATAGGACAGAAGAAATAAATTCCGTCTGCTTCGGTCTTCTTCTGTTCCTCAGTCCCATTTAGGAAGAACTCGAGATTGTGCTTGCTCATTCAGACCTTGGGCAATCGTAGTGTCCTGCTGACTGACTTGCAGTTTCGGCTGAGTTCCTGCTCTCATTTGTACTCATTTGTTGAAAGTCACTTCTGCACCCTCCCTCTAAGTATGGGAAAGATCTTGGAATCTTCTCTCCTTGGTTGCATTACAGAACTTGGAGAAGGAGGAGAAAATGCATTCAACATACAATAATAATAATCCTTGCATTCATCGGCCTTGTGCCTGTAATGTCAAAATGTCTTAAAGTGCTTCACAGAGAATTGTTATTAAGTGTACTGTGTACTGTTTTTTTTAGCCAAACACTGCAGCCAATTTGCACACAGCAGTGTCCCATAAACATACATGGGATGAATGGCTAATTTATCTGGAGGATTTTTTGGCCAGGACACTGGGAGAAACTCCCTTCTATTTTTGAATGGTACCATGGGATCTTTAATTTTTTTATACAACTAATACTCAGCGTTGAGGTGCTGTTTTCATAAGATTCTAGTTTTTGATGCATGTTATCATTGGAAAATAGAAAATAAACAGTAAAAGTATTGTCCTTACTATTGAGAATTAGCCCCAATTATGTACAAATAAGGTTTAGTTAAACATGCCAGTGCTGGCTTGTTATAAACAACGCTTAAGGCAATAGCCAAAGAACACATGATTTCTGTTTGCTGATCCTTGACGGGTTGACACACTGTATACTTGTGCATAATCCATCACTATAGTTCTTAAGATGCAATTCATTTTACAGTAGTTATAATTTATCAGTCTGAGGGCAGACTCTTTCCCAGAGATATTTGATTATTATTTAATTTGAAAGCCTTGAAGTAAACTGATGTGAAGGATCCAATAGACTTATTGTATTAACGCCCANTTTTTTTCATTTCTTCTGTCAATAGGCGATGTGGTTGATGGTTCAACAGGATAAACCAGAGGATTTCATTATCGCTACAGGAGAGGTGCACAGTGTCCGCGAGTTTGTGGAAAAGGCCTTCAAGCACATTGGAAAAAGCATTGTGTAAGTATCTCACTTTATCAAGAAAAGATTCTACTTTCTGTTTACTGGCCACTTGTGTTTTTTTCCTCTCATGTTAAAGTAATCACATTAAATTTTTTAAATATATATATGGTGAAAATATATACAACAGGGCCAAAAAGCACTTTTAAAGTTTGTAAGCTGTATTAAGTTCCCAAGAAACATACAGAAAGTTATCTTGCCAACTGATATGGTGGGGATTTGATCAAGACAAAGGTGGTATTTAAAGATTCATGCTAAATTTAAAACTCATCAAAAAAGAATCTGGTGTGAGTCTGGAACATGTCTATAGAAGATTAAACTGGCTCGCTTGGACCATAAAGCTGAACCATAAAGCTTTTCTGTCACAAGGCCAAGCCTTGGTACAAGAATCAAGTTTTCGAGGATACACTTGCAGTTATTTGAATTTTAGTTTGATTTTTCATCCATTTACATTTATTTGGGAAATATCAAATATTGAGTGATGGCCAGAGTAGGATATACTTTTAAGTCATTCTGTTCCATTTTGCATTTCCGTTTTTGGTTTTACTGTAACACAAAGTCTTAGTTAATGTGGTCAAAATTCAAAATACTGCAGATGCTGGAAATCTGAAACAAAAACAGAAGTTGCTGGGAACCCTCAGCAGGTCAGGCAGCATCTATGAAGACAGGAAAGTGAGTCAACGTTTCGGGTCCAAGACCCTTGTCAGAACTGGGGCATGTTGGGAGGGAGAGGCAAGGGAGGGAGCGAGACGAAGGGAGTGTGGGATGGAGTTCCAGAGCGTGGGGGCAGAGAGGCTGAAGGTCCGACTACCAATGCTGGGGCTGGCTAGGCAGGGGACTTGGAGCAGGCCGGAGCCTGCAAAGCGGAGGAAGCGGACAAGTTGATAATGGGTCAGGAGATCGGAGAGGTAGGAGGGAGCAAGGCCATGGAGGGCCTCGAGGGTGAGGACAAGAATTTTGAACTTGATCCTCTGAGTGATGGCGAGCCAGTAGAGCCGGGCGAGGGTGGGTGTCATGGGGTCATGGAACCTGTTGTGGGAGAGGACATGAGCTGCAGAGCTCTAGATGGTCTGTAGGTTGTGAAGGGAAGAGTTGGGAAGGCTGACAAGCAGGACATTGGCATAGTCGAGCCTGGTTGTAATGAAGGCATATATGAAGGTTTTGGCGGCCTGATTGGTGGCGGAGTCGGGTGATGTTGTGGAGGTCGGGGGGAGGCAGACCGGGTCATGACACAGATGTGCAGGAGAAAGGACAGTTGAGGGTCGAACAAGATGCCCATATTCCTGACTGGCTCGGTGAAGTCGAGTGTGCATCCGTGGATGCTGATGCTGCCAGTGCCTGAGGTGGGGAGGCTCTGGCGTGAGCCAATCAGGAAAGCCTCGGTCTTGCTGATGTTCAATTGTAGAAAATTAACTCTCATCCAGGACTTGATGTCTGACAGATATTCTGTCAGGACAGCAGTGGTCCTGGGGTCGAGGGTGGAGGTAGAGAGATAGAGTTGGGTATTATCCGCATACATGTGGAAGTTGACCCCATGTCTGCGGATGATGTCACCAAGAGGGACATTGTACAGGTTGAAGAGGAGAGGACTGAGGACAGAGCCCTAAGGAACACTGCACGAGACAGTATGGGGGCTGGAGGAGAGGCCATTTGGCGAGACAAAGTGGACCCAGTGTGAGAGGTAGGATCTGAACCATTCAATGACAGATCCTTGAAGGTTAAGGTGAGAGGAGAGGCGGCGGTGGAGGATAGAGTGGATAGGAAGATTCATTATTGCTGTTCATTCAAAAGTGTAAATGTTGTGCAATGAGTTTTTCATTTGGGGTAAAAACATGTGAGAAGGGTGGCATTTTTTTTGAATTTCTTTTTAATTGCTTGTTCAGTTGTGGGAAAATATCATTGTCACTATTAAAATGTTATTAAAATCCAGTTGATTCAAACCCATCGTTATAATGGAGCGTTATGAGAGAACTATACTTAACTGGACCTGATTGTCTTCAGTGAAGGTGAAAATAGTTAATCAAAATATTGCAACTTCAAATTGCAGATTGATAGAACTATCTACTCTTATATATTTATGAGTGTACTCAGCTGTGTATTCAAGCCTGATCAAACATGGAATATTGTTAAAGTATCAGGACTGTGCCTTTACCTTTGCTTTCTAATGAGAGAAGCAGAGGAATGTTATTAAGGGGTATTCCTGTAAAAAGCGAATGTGATCCATTATAATGAGAGGTCAATAGCAGTTATGAGGAACCTACAACCCATGCGCCCAAAGTTGTATCCTAAGGCAATCATAGCAGCACATCTAAGGATACAAATCTGTCAATTAATGGAGGACTTTTTATGTTCTGCACATGGATATGCAGGAGCTTACCCTTGTTACTGTGAGGAAGTCTTTGGTCTTTAGTTGGCAATTGCCAAAAGTGGAAAAGCAATAATCAGGATCTTACTAATCTTACCATTTGTGGAGTCATGGCCACAATATCTTATCCCATAAGTCCATGGTGCAGGGCGTTGGAGCATTCCTCAGAGTGGCCCTCCTGCAAGACACAGCTTGCGATCGGCAATGAGTGATGGAACAAGCTGTAACTTCAACACCATAAATATGGATCACAACACTATGTCAGTGAAGGATGGGATAATTTGTAAATATGACATCTAAGTGAGAGACATTAGCCAAACTGGCAAATCATTTGTTATATGTTTGTTACAGGACCACATATGTCATGGATAGAATGCATTCCTGTGTGCGTTCCCATTGACATATAGTGGGTGTGCAAGTGGACAGTAAAATTTGGCCTTGCCCTAGGTTAGAGGACGTTTAATGCACATCCAAAAAACTCCCTATAAAAAACATTCCAGAATTATTATATCAAACATTGTACAGATGTAGTGGTTTATTCTAGATTTTGTTAAGCAGTATTGTTCAATAGTGTTGTTTCATACACTTACTCTTTAGTTGTTGTACTATTACCAAATACCAAACTTTGCTTGGAGTACAGAATATTTACTATTATTGCTATCAAAACTATTATTTAATTCCCTTTGTGACAGGCGTAGACAGGCTCTGTATAACCTTGATGTTTCTTTGATGTTCCTGTGAGCACATAGCTGAACTTCTAATGCCCCTGAATCAATGTTGATGTTAAGTATAATAGATTACCCTAAGGGCAGAATAGCATTGTTTCTACTTGTTTTGCATTTGCTTTTCTCTTAACTCACAACCCTCTGTAGCACATGACAGCAGCCAATTGTGTTGTGCCAATGATCCAATCTACTCCTCTGCCATTACCTTTTATACAATTTATATCATTTAATACATGCCCTGGCGACTCTATGCCATAAAATGGTATGGAGTGAATTCACCTTTGAAATTCCCAACGTCTCTCATTTGGCTAGTTCCCGGTAAGGAAACGATGATGCCTGGTGAAAGTAAGGCATTTCCTCAGAAAAAGGGAGGGATGAGTAGAACACTTTTGGGAGGGAACAAGCCAATCCACACTGGCCTTTTTTCAGCCTTTGGTGACTTCCTCAAAGGTCTGAGAACAAGTCAGCACCTGCCCTTTCCATCCTGTGTCAAGTGCCTGGTACAGCAGATGTAAAGGCAGAAAACACATTTTAAAAATCATCGTGGGGGGTGTAGAAGGGATTTTTAATTTTCAGGTAGAATGAAGGATGCTATGTAGAATATTGTTGAAGGTGACAAGCCACATTTTGTTTGTACTTATTAGCATACACCTTAAAACCTAAAATACTCCCAACATACTTGAAGCAATTCCATCATCAACAACAACAATCACAACAACTTGCATTTATTTAGCCCCTTTCACTCGGGGTGGCATCTTGCAGCACTTAAGCCAGCATGTACATGTCATTGAAAAACCGCATTCTTGCTTTATTTCCCCTGCTGACAATTAAAGACCGTATGATTTTGCTTTTGTTCCTCTATTTTTGCTGGTATATCATTAAGCATTTTTGTCATGCTGTGATTCTGATGGGCTTGCTTAACGTGTGATTTAAGTCTGAACATGATTAGGCAAAATAACCTTCAAAATATCCTTTACTATCATCTATTTTGGGGTTGATGTGGGGGGAGTGATTGAAACTTTCTTTCAGAATCCTACAACTACATGTTGAAACCAATCTATTCTTGGCGCGTAAGGGGATCCTAATCCATGGATTAGACTTTGTAGTTTGGGCCGAGTTGTTTATATTCCTTTTAAATTAGCTGAGATGTCTGGAAGGCTTTTCTGGAACTGAGATCATTATGAAATTGAATCATCCTCGGATTACTTTCAATTTGCCAGTGAAAAAAAATCATATGTGTAATTTGTGATCTAAGCTTCCTAAATATATTTATTGACTGGAAAAATAGAATTGCAGATTTCTTCACCAAGAGTTCTCTTCACTGCATTTTTGAGTGCAGTTCTTGTGTTATTTAGCCCAAGATATGGGTAATGAAATGCCACAAACTTGATGCGTTTGCATTCTAAATTGTAGACTTGATAATGAATTAGCGATTTCTACAGCAAATACATCTCCTAAGCTTTTCTTCAAATGTATATTAGGTTAGTTCAGAAGTTACAAGGTTAGACTGGAGTATTAAACCAACTATTAATTGCTTCATTGATTTTATAATCCGCCTAAGCATATAGTTTAATATGTCCTTGTTAAATATGTTAATTTAAATTTGCCTCAAGAGTGGAGCAATAGGCTTTCAACTAGGGGAGATCCCTGACTCAATTGACATTCGCATGAAAGGTACAACTTATACTAGCTTCACGCAGTTTGTCTATGAGAGAGGAGGGAAACCTGTCCAAAGCCCTTTTCACCATTACTCGAGCTAACTCAACAACTCAATAAAGGAAGTATATTTGACCATGTCATAAAGATACCCACGGGCCAAACTGCCCGTTCATTGAGTAGGGATGATAGGTGGTCCTACTAAGGAAAAAAAATGGGAGGAAGAGATGATAAATCACATTGTGTCTTGCAGA